AAAAGCGTACCCCTAACGGGCCCCACTTTTTCAAAAAAAAAACTATTACAAAAAAAACNATTCTTTTTCTCGTGCGCACATACTCCCCACACGATCCCTCTAAACAGCTTATTTTTTGCAAAACAAAACAAAAAGCGTACCCCTAACGGGCCCCACTTTTTCAAAAAAAAAACTATTACAAAAAAAACAAACAGGCAGCGCACCGCAAGAAAACAATCACTGCTACAGCTGTACCCGCATCCTCGCTACGCCGCGACGAATTCTCTCATGCCCGCCTGGCGCACCCGCGTAGCGGAATGCGCTGCTACTATCATCGCCATCTTCGCTTTCGCTAGATAGAGCGCCGCCTCTCCTTTGCCAACCTCCTCTGCTGCCGTTTCCAGGACGCCGAAGCAGCTGACACCGGTGGAAGGGGACACAGCACTTCTGCCGATTTTTCTTCTCATCCCGGACCAGCCGTACCGAGCACGCGAAGCGGTCTGCTATCTGCTCATTCATGAGTGACCTTGGCATCCATGAGCTTCAGCATCTCAAGCTTGGCGTCTAAATCCGGCCGACACGAGGCCCCTTACGAGAAGGCTGAGACTTCTTACTCCCCCCATTCGTGACCTTCGGGCGTTTAGATTGTCCCCTTCCACCGGTGTCAGCTGCTGGCGCCTTGCGCTTGACGTCCTTGGCGACGCACGCACTGCAGATGCGGTGCTGTTCGTTGTCGCCAAACTTGCTGCCGCAATTGCCGTGGAGCCGCCCGCCACTTCCTCCCTTCCAAGGGTGGCCGTGTGGGGCCTGCGGCGTCTTATTATCCTGTTGAGCGCACAGATCACCTTCCGCACATGGCATGGTACGCCCCTGCGTAGAGCTGTTCTGGTCTGCAGCAGAACCTGTACCCTACTCCTCTGTCTAGAGTCTGTCCTCTGCCTGGTGTGCGCGCGGGGGGATGAACCGGCACTACTGAGGGTGACAGCAGACAGCAGTGGCGCCCAACCGGCACTACAGATAGCGCCCGCACTTAAGGGGGAACCGCCAATCGATGTTAGGGTTCGCAATCGGGGCAGTGTATAGGGAATAGACTGGTCTGGAAACCCCCCTGTTTCTAAAAAACATGACAACCTGGTTAGACCNTAAAAAACATGACAAAACCTGGTTAGACCGCACTTGTTACGGCGGCCCGCAAGCAGGAGGGCAGCGACGTGCCCAGAACAACAACCGGTGAGACCCAGAGGAAATACGCATGAGATGAGATATATGAAGTGTCACATCGTACAATGCACGACCGAAAGACTTGTCGTCGCCGACCACAGAATCAGCAGCTTTGAAACGACGGAATTGCCGGATACACGATTCTCCAGCACACCGCCCCGGCGCGAATAAGGCGTGTAGTGGATGAACTCACGTACTCGCACGCTGAGGGTGTGCTCCATATGTGTGACGGTCGTGCAGTGCCCGCAGAAGTTTAGGAACGTGTCGGCGTCGGTGTTTCCTCACCCTCTGGAAATGAGGACATGATTTCCGCCAAATGGGGTGCTGAGGGGCGGTCAAGCCGATCGGAAAAGCTGTACACACGAGGCGCCGTGCAAAAGGCGACTGATATAGGTAGTCTGTGAACATGCNGCGTTTTTCTGCACATATAGGCGTTTTTAGACAGTGCAAGTACTGTGCATTTTTTTTTTACGCTTCCAAAAGATGGCCCTGACCCATAGCTTTCGTATGAATGTCCCAAAACCGGAGTCTGATCATAAACGACGGAGAAACAGCGTTTTCCATTTAAGCGGAATTTACAGCAGTAAATATGCCTATTAATAGGGATTTAGACTGGAAATTTCCCGGCGTGATTACCGTCGGGACAGATAAGGCAGGACACCACCTGCGTGGGGTCCAGGACGGCTCATCGCCCGCGTTTCGACCTAGTGGTGTTACAGGAGCAATAAACGATACCGAGGCGTGAAAAGCGGAGGTTTGGTGGTGCCAGCTTGATAATTTATTGCAATATATTTACAGCAGTATGTATATGTATGGCGGGCTTGCTTTTCCAGGCCACACTGCTTGTGCTTACCCGCCGCGTCGCGCGCGTTCGCATTCTTTGTCCAAACCCACATGATGGACGCATCTACGACGGATAACCGACCGTTGACGGTAGTCGAAGTCCAGAGGGGGTTGAACCGTATAGAACCGGCCGGTTGTTGGCTAAGACGCGGTGGCGTCGAGAAAATGGTTGGCTGGCGACTCGGTGCAATTCAGCAATTTCTAGGATCGGTAGAGCCCAAAGAGCTTGGAAGCACGAGGCGCCAAACGAATCTGTCGAGAC